CAATGAGACGTGTGGAGACGCCACCTTTGGCTCTGGAGAGTCACAGTGGGACTTTTCCCCAGTGTCTGACATTCTGGGGACAAACAGATCAATCAGATCATCAGGATGATGATCAGCTGATTGATCAGTGGTCCTGCTGGTTGTGTCTCCACTCAGTCAGGAGGCTCCTGTTGTTTGTCACCATCTTTATGTTCATGAGAGAGAGGGAGCAGTATGTTGGTCCAGATAGCAGCTCCTCTAAGGCACAAAACTAAAGTTTATGACAGCCCCCATCACCATCAGAGATGGATACTGATACTGATATAACAAGATGGACAGTAATGATCCTTCCCGTCTCACTGTTTGACCTTGCTTTCAAGAAAAACCCCTCGCTGCTCCAGTTTGTGTTGCAACGAGGAAACACCAAGGCAACCGCTGCATCCAAGGCCATAAAAAAACAACCTAGTCAGAGAATGAAGCTCAAGGGAGGAGGCTTCATGTCTGGGTTTTTCCCCAAATCACTAAATCTGCCTCTGCATACTCTCCCATGAGGTAATACAATTTTCCAGCTGTGTGAGTGAGCTTCAGCCTAAGGAAAACATCTCACCCTCATGTTTTGTAAATCTGTTGCCACTGACCTCTGAGATCTCTGGTGTCCAAACTGTGGAAAACCTCCTGAAAGGGCGCATATAGCTCTGGACTCGGGAGGATCACTGCCCTGACTCACAACCACCTGCCCTCTAATGCCGCACAACTCTGCTACTGACATCTCAACTTTGTGCTCCGTTGCTCATCCAAATGATTCAGATCAGTTTATTTGTGAAGCTCCAAATCACAGCAAAACGTCTTCTCAAGGCACTTTATATGGCAAAGACTAGACCTGTCAGTATTGTAGTGGAAAACCCAACAAATCCAGAAACAGATTTGTGAGTTTAAATGGCTCCAGAACTGTGTACACAAGAACCACTTCAGTGTTGTGCTTCTCTCAGATAGATTGAACAGACATTTCTCAGCAGCCGTCCTCGTGTGCCTGTTTTCACCAGCATCGCTTCACTTTGCATGGGGAGTTTGGAGCCCTCTTTAATCCTCAGTTCCTCCCTCTGACAACAAGCTGAGGTGAGGTGACTTTGTATCAGTCCTGAAGTGGTCTGGATCAGCTTGAAGGTTCAGGTCTGGGTCCAGATTTGGACCAGACTCCACCTGTGTGCGGCCTCTGTGAAGAGTCTCTCTCTCTCTGGTAACTTCTCGTTACTCCCAGTTGGCTAATATCTCGCTCATCGCTGCAGCAGCATCCTGACCCCTGACAGTCAGTCACTGGTACCATTTCTTCCACCCTCGGGCCACCTGACAGCAGGTCAGGGGCCAGCGCCGCAATGCAGACAAGCCACCACTGTCAGTCCCAATACTAAATACTCCTGGAACTTTCTGCCATGTGCTCCAGAGACATTTGTCCCAGTGCAGTGGTTTTCTGTGTCAGCAGAGCTCTGATGCAGTGTGACACTAACCAGAGTGTTACAAGGTTCAGTTCATTTGTCTGAGATAAATGGCTCAGCAGAAAACATGCAGGCAAATCTCAGACTGGACCCTGAAGGAAACAAGTGTGCACGTTATTGATGACATGTGAAGTTCAAGTCTCAGCCCAGTTTCAGATGTTTAGAGACCAGTGTAATTAACCGTTATCTGGAAATCAGAGAATCATTACTGGTGTAAGAGCTCCCTCTGTCGGATAAGGCAAGGCATGTTTTAAACCTCTCTGCATCAGGAAACTCACCATCGAGTTTTCACTTGAACGTCTCCATCATTACTAAAGTAGCTTAGACCTGTTGTTATTTTAGCTGAAGAATTATCAGTATATTATTCAGCAAATCAACATATTCACAAGTTAAACGCTTGATCTAAACCCTGCAGCTGTGCTTCATAGGCCCAAACTGTAAGGTTCCAAAAGCTCAACCATAAAATAAAAGTTGTCTGCAGTAAAGACAGGATGCAGTTTCACTCATAAGATTCACTTTAATGGAATACTGTCATCTTTAATCTCCAAACTGGTTCACGCTAAACAGCCGCTGTCTCTTTGTTGGTTTTAATGGTTCATCACCACATTAAGATGCTCTCAACAATAAATTGTTTAGCTGAGGTTGTAAATATAAAATGAATCCAATGAGTTTTGCTGTGTGAAATAGGTGAATGTTGGTTGTTGGACTGTTTATGCTCATACTGCTTCTATATTTAAGTTATTACATCTAATTCATTGATCCAGTTAAATCTGTGGAGACATGTTGTTAGCATGTGTCCCAGCATGCATTGCATTCAGGTGAAGTGCTGTTACATTCAATGAACAAGGAAGCTTATAGTTTTTAGATTTTCAGACTTTTACTTTATAATGAGCCTAAATCAGACAAAGCAGCCAGATATTTGTATCCATGTTTATTCAAGCTTCAGTTTTCAGTAAGTTCATACTAAACGTTAATGGTTCTGACAAAAATGTAACTTTTATTATTATAGTTTTTAAATCTTTATATTTTCTGGGGGGGTTACTACAACTGAAGTTCCCCCAAACACCACCAGATGTCGCCATACGGTCAAAGTTTCACAGCTGTTTAAGTCCAGACGTGCCGCTCCTTGGGGTCCACATAGAGTAACGACTGGAGGAGGCCTGCGGGGCCCAGAGAGAGCAGGTTGCATCGGTTTATCAGCCCATAAAGACCGTGACAGTGACCAGCTCGGCTCCTGAACTGTACACGGGACCTTCTGACCTCTCTCTCTGTGAGAGTGTTTCGGGTTTGTGTTTGGCTCCACACCTCTCCACACGGCTGACTTTGTTTCATGCTGTTATGATTCATGTTACCTTAAATTACGCGTTACATTACTGTCCAACGCGCTGCCAAGACTCTGGGAGACTCCGGCTGAGAGCGGGGCCTCCCTGTGAACACGGCCTCAGCCCCCCCAACACGCTGTGTTTTATCGTTGTCTGAATCGCGCCAACGGCTTCAGGTTTGTACAGAGATAAGAAAACATTTCAACTGAAGTAGCTTCATCCAAACCCGCTTCTGACCCACACGGATGTTGCTGCGTTTATCCAGACTGATCCGGTGAGATCCCCCAGGCCCGTTCAGTTCCTGCCAAATGATGTTATTGCACAGGTCTTTGGTCGCTGCTCACTCTCCCACTTATTCATCTGCGGTACAAAACAAATACGGCCTCTACAATGACTGGTTTTGTTACACAGCACAGTCGTTATTGATGAAATGTGTGCGTAATGTGTCATCTGGGAAAAAGGCCTTGTTGCTTTGAACGATTCCATATTTCGCCTGTTTTATACAAAGAAAGGCAGAAAACCACCTCTCACCGAGCCCCGGGTTTAATGTTGCATAGTCTTTATGACAGGAGTTCTATGAAATTGCAAGAACTAAGAATCGGAGGTCATCTATATTTGACATCCAGAGATATTAAATAGCAGCTGCGTGTGTGGGACTCTTTGGAGCATCCTCTGCTTCTTTCAGCTCTGACAATGTCTCGTCCGTCCACGGCCCCGGAGCCGCGTGTTCCCTGAAGCGACTCCAGCTCCAGCTCCAGAGTTTGGCCACAGGTGATCGAGCCTTGTGCCATACCTTCGTTTTTTGTGATTTGACAATCCTGCTCTCGCTTTATTGGAACCACACAACGCGCAGCGGGCCTGTTTCCAATCTGAAGACATGCGTGATGAATTTGGTAAATCATCTGCAGCTTTGCTGGTACCGTGTGGCCCACCCAGTCCGGACCCAGTCCTCCTCTACCCCGAGGTATCAATACGATTAGAGGCAGGAAATGTGGGAATCCCCAACAAAGGGCGCCATCATTAAACAAAACAACCAGAGGCCCCTAACAAAACCAAAAGCGCCCCCGTCTCCTCACCACTCTTTTATGTCAGACCAAGTGAAAATCTCTTAGTTTCACCCCGGTGTTACCGACGGGGTTGTGGTGGGTTTGTTTTTCAGAAACCTCAAGTTGTGCACTGTGGGTCTAATGTCATTTCTCCTACACTTCTCGGTACGTCTCCAAAGTCTGGGTGCATCTCCTGTAGCTTTGGGAAAAGGCCCTGATCAGGTTCTCCGGTGAAGCCCCCAGCTCCGGGCAGGCGATAAATTGTTATTTTCGCTGTAGCACAAAATCAGTCATTCCACTTTTATCCACTGTTGCACGTCTGAAAACCATGTAATTGTGCGTCAGGTGTGTGCGTAAAGTGCGGCTGCCGGAGCCTTCGAGCGGGATTAAGGTTTAAGTCCCTGCCTCACGTAGAGAAGTGTTTGGGATTTTCCCCCTCAGTGTTTAACTGCAGAATCGTGAGCTGAGCTTTCAAAGCGTCTGTCAGCTGATTCGGAAATTAAAATGCCTGTTTATCTGTCTTTTATTACCACCTTCCATGCCCGCTGCGCGTTCAGAGGACAGTCTTCTGCCTTACAGAGATCCGAACTTATTGGTTTGATAAAAACAATTCTTCTGAAACATGATCTGGACTTTGAGCAACATTTCTCCAGGTGTTTGTGTAGCATTTCTCCCTGCGTCCTTCTTTAGGATGAATCTGGTTTTAGGCAGCACCGAATGGTTTTGGGAAAATAATAATAATAATAATAATAACAATAGCTTACAGCTCAGGAACGGTCTTGTACAAAATTACATTTTCACATGAGCGACTTTTTAATGTTTAATTATTTACTAGTTTAATGTAACACTTTTGACATAACTCCGAAATAAACCCCCTAAATAAAAATGTTTATTCCTCAATAAAAAGTCTTTGTTTTAAAGGAAGTTTTTACTGAATGCATCAAAACGTCCCGTCACCCTGGCACCGCTGTGAGGATGAGGCTGGTGTAGGCCTTCTGGTAGCGCCCTTTGCGTCGTTTTCATTGGTCAGGATTCTTGTTCCTCGCGCCTCGCCATGACATCACATCCACCCGACCCGCAGGAAAACAACAGAAATTACAGATGATGCTGGACATCTCCGAGGACGCACACGCTTTCACGAATTACGCACAGTCACTGGTTGAGAGATTCTTTGCGCTTAAAGGCACAAAATAAAAGATATCAGCACAGATGTTTTGCGGTTTGGAGAGTTTGTTTCCTGACAAGTAAGAGGAGGGTGGTGCTCGGATTTTCACATTTTTGTGAATGGGGATGGGTCGTGCGTAAAAATCAGTTCATCCTGTTCAAAAGAAGAGCTGTCAATCTCCCACCCGGAGGCAGGTGGTGTTGGCTTTACCCGCGGACTTCTACTATGACTTTGGGTCTGGACATCATGGAGGATATTGTTATCGACGTCGTAGGAGAAGGGCTCAAAGACGGTGGAGAGGAGGAACTTTTACCTTTGGATGAGTCGCGGAGCGAGCAGGACCGCAGCACGGAGTCTCCCAATAGTCAGAGGAAAGACCGGGACGCCTGCAGCCCCGCGCCGGTGTGCTCTCCTCCTGCTAAAGCCAAAGGTCCCACGTCGGTGAAGCCTCCGTACTCATACATCGCACTGATAACGATGGCCATCCTGCAGAGCCCAAAGAAACGGCTCACCCTCAGCGAGATATGTGACTTCATCAGCCACCGCTTCGTGTATTACCGGGAGAAATTCCCCGCCTGGCAGAACTCTATCAGACACAACCTGTCGCTGAATGACTGCTTCGTCAAGATGCCCAGAGAGCCCGGGAACCCCGGGAAGGGAAACTACTGGACTCTGGACCCCAACTCTTCGGACATGTTTGAGAACGGGAGTTTCCTGCGGCGGAGGAAGCGCTTCAAGCGGCAGCATTTTCGCTTCGACCCGCTGAAGGAGCAGCACCTGGAGCCGAGCGCACTGCACGGCTTCCCGCACGTCTCCTACGGGCTCGGAGCTCTGCAGCTGCCTAGCCTGGAGATTTACCCCTACCTCCACCCTCATGCGCCCTCGCCCTGCGGCCCTGCCACCGGCCCACCTGTCAGCAGCATCTTACCGGCTCTCTCCAGCTTCTTCTCCCGCGGCGCCCTCACAACCAAGGCTTTCCTCCAGTCGCAGCCCGGCATCGAGGCCTTCTCCCCGGGCCAGTGCACTGCCTACTCCTCTGCTCTGACCTCCAGCGCTGCCTACGCCTCCCCGGCGCTCTTCCACCCGGCAGCGTCCCCACATTTCCTCAGTTTACACCAGGAGTATCAGAAACTACAGACTCAGCGCGGCGTCGCGGACCTGGCCAAACACAGCAACACTGAATAATCCGGTGAACTCGGATCCCGAACTCGTGTTTTCTCAGGTAACAGAGACAGTTTCAGCAGAAGCTCACAGTTTGTTCTTCGATGGAAAATAGATTCATCTGTTTTAGTAGAAACGTCAGACACACTCCTCCTTCCTCCTTCCTTCCTTTATGGCAAAAGGCTTTTTAAATTGGTCATGATTTATTATCTTTGGTTTAAATATTTAAGTGACGAGTTTCCTCTTCTTTTCCTGGAAAGAAATAAAAGTGAATATTTAAACTTTGGTTCAGTTGTATTTTGTGCAGATCCACGTGCACAACGTGAAGCTGTTTAAGTTGTATGTAGGAAACAAACTGGTTTTATCACGTGACTTGCTTTATTCTCTGCATTATGCGCTGATTTAGTGATTAGTAATATCACCTTTATCTAGATGTTAAGATTTAAATAGCAATCAATTTAAATTTCAATTAAAAACAACAGTGAAAGATCATTAAAACAAGAGTGTTCTTAGAATTAAAAGCCTGGATCAGTCGAGTGTTCTTAGAATTAAAAGCCTGGATCAGTCGAGTGTTCTTCACTTCTGGGTGAAATATCGACACAATAAAAACCAAATAATGTCTGTGAGGCCTCGAAGTGATGAAGCCACACAGCAAAACGGGCCTGTAAAATAACACACCATGTTTTTAAAGTAACATTATGTTGCACACATCTGTCAGCAGCTGCTGGAGCTGCGGAGGGCGCAGGCCCGAGTGTGTGTGCGTGTGTGTTCAGCTCGAAAATACACTTACGAGTTGCTTGATTTTTGCAGGGTCTCTCTTTCTCCCTCTCTCTCACACACACACACACACACACACACACACACACACACACGCACGCACACACACGCCAAATAGGTAGAGTCATAAACTCGCTTTCTGCTCTTGTGGCTTTATTATTATAATTATTATAGGGAGAGTTATATTGAGAATATGTTGGTTGTATATTTTCTAGTTGAGTTGTTCTCATCTTATTTGGCCACATTAAAAAGTCCTGCCAGTCCTGTTTAAGATTTAATTTACTGCTCAAAGTGCCAGTTATTGCATTTTAAATGACACCTAATAATATCGAAAAGATTATTGTGCTGTTCTGTGAATTGATCCAACAATTACAAACTGAATTTATTCTTTTTTATGAGTTTCATTATGAATTAAAAATTTGTATTTGTGGTTCAGAAACTGTCAAAACTTTCCATTTCCCCCGTTTTCCTATTTACAGACTGGTGTAAAAATCAGTCACCACAGAATTAATTCAACGCCATCATCCAAACCTAAAACAGACAAGTGAATAGCTTTAGCAGACACACACAGGATGAGTCAGTGAATACACAGTGATTATTAAATCTGTCCTAAAACTTTCCACCCATTTCTCCCTGCCACTAATTCACATGATCTTTTCCCTTGAAGTGAAGACAGCGCTGCTTTACAGTCAGACTGACAGTAGTAAAACAACTGGAGCTCCCTGGGCATGCGACTATTTATTTAATTCTATTCTGAGCTGGACCCAGATGGATCCCCAGGCTGATGGAGCCGCCGTACACTCAGGCCTTTGAAACAAATCTAAAGGTTGTTACCTGATGGGGAGCTGTGAAGTCTCCCACTCCACCTTCTCATTCAGTCTCTTCTCTTGTCTTTTCCACATTCAGAACATTTTTACAGTCGCCCAATTTTGATGCTTAGATTTAATCAGTTTGAGGTTTTCTCTTTTTTGTTCACTGCAAAAGATCTAATATGTGAACTGCTAATCTTAAACAGCGCTGCTGGAGCTGTGGTTAAACTGATCCAACGGGGGATTCGCGTCGTTCACCACAGCACTTCTGCTGTTAGAGCCTAAATACACACTTTGGACCTGAGTGTCAGGGCTTTGCTTCATTTAATTAAAACTGAACATGAAGCTGCAGCAGAGGCAGAAACATGGGAAAACCTAAAGTCCCTTATGTGTGTGTGTGTCAGCTACACTCAGTGGTCAGTTTATTAGGAACACCTGTGTCAGACTGAGTCAGTCTGATCCAACAGCGCTGCAGTGAAGGTGATGATGTCCAGGTTGTGTTCAGACTGGTTCACCTGTGGGATTTGTGCTGCTGTTCAGCTGGACTGGGTTACACAAAGAGACCCTGAGAGGTATTTAGCCACTGATAGAAATGGGGTGTACAAAATAAGAGGAACACCTGTCAGTAACTGCAGCCTCCAGGGTGACCACACAGTCTGAGCACAGTCTGAAGGGCATCACCTTCACTGAAGCACTGTTCTAGTCTGAGAGAGGTGTTCCTAATAAACTGACCACTGAGTGCATATAGTAGGCCATAAGTCAGGATGCTCCTCTACACACTCACGCACACATGCACAAGACTTTTGACTTTATGCTCAGGTGTGACTACGGCACAACAACGTTGATGATCCTTAGAAACGCCAGAAGAAGAAATCAGCGCATTTGGCCGAGAAGGGAGAAACTGATGCGGACTGGCACAGAGACTGATTGGCAGCCTGGGGAGAGGGGGGGGGGTTGCACCTGATAAAACAAGCAAGTCCAGCACCGTGGTTTTTTGTGTGTGTAGCTGTGAGTGCACATCAGTTTTCCATCCTGAAGGAGGGAACCGCTGCCAGTCTCCCCTTGCTCCTCCGTGCGTCACTGTGGCTGTGTTAAACCTGCACTTCTCTTCTGAGCAGAAGCCTCTTTTTAGTGATGGGCAGCAAGATTTTCCTGCTTTAAAACCGGTTTCCCTCTTAAACTTGATCTGCAGTCCCTCAGAACAGCACTCGGTCATATTAGAGATGAGTAAGCGGACACAATGAGTGTACACGTGTGTGGCAGCCTTTCTGTGGTCCTGTTGTGTGTTTCTACTCAGTTATCAGTTGTGAGTTACAGCTCACATCGCTGAGCTCAGCTCTCTGGGAGAAGTGAGTCGATGGGGTCAGAGCGGTGCCGCGCCACGATGCCAAACCAAACAGGCAAGATAAACTCCGTGGTCGAGCTCCCCGCCTCGCTGCCTTCACTCCTTCTGCAGGGAGAGTGGTGCATTCTGGGATAGCCCCTGCAGGCTGAGCCAGGACAGCAAAAACAATGTGTTGTTCCAGAGAGTTTGAGATGCATGATTTGGACTTAATTCCCCTCAAATATTTTCCTGTCTCATAGCCTGATGTTTTAATTTGAGGCCCAAATCATGACCCACTGCCGCACAGATGCAGCTTCCCCCAGCGACCACAGACTGTTCTGACCCAGTGTCCATGTTTGACATTACTGTTACTGGATCACAACAACCTCTTATTCTCCGTGGTTTGTATTGTGGAGCTCATAGTTAAAGCTGGTGGTGTGACAGACTGCGTATCCAGAGGTGCTCCTAATACTCTGAACCCCTTATGTATGTAAATGCAGAGGACAAAAACCAGAGATGCCACTGACCACCACTATGACCTCAACTTAAAAAAGTCCAATTAAATTCATTTATGTTTCACATTTCATCAAAAACGGAAACACTTGGAGCTTCATAGCGGCAGATGTTGGGCTGCTTGTAGTTGTGCAGGTGTGTACCTAAAATTACCACTGAGTCACTGGATCAGAACAGTCCCTGAGCTCCGGGCACATTCAGTGTGAATACATTAAATATCTGTTTAAAATTGAGCCAGTGTGGATCAGTACAGCTCAGAGTATTTGTGTTATCTAGTGTGGTTGCAAACAGTTGTGGTCTACCTCTTTAGTGAGGATCTAAACATAATTACCGCTGATCCTTTACGGGTCTGAAGGCCGTGCACATCACTGACAGCAGATGTGTGACAGCTTTAAGGAAAAATCTGGGCTGTTATTGGTCCAATAAGCAGCCTTGAGTTTGGGTAAGTAACCAATGTAATGCAGAGCTCATGCTGTGCAGCTGCTGAGTTGTCAGTGTGCTGCCACAGTCAGTCTGGTGGAGTTAAAGCTCTTGTGGTTTTTCAGTTATCATTAGTAAATCTCGCACCTTTCTGCTGAGGCCGCCGACTGTTTCTCTCCTCTCTCTTTAATGGCTGATTTCCACCGGCCTCCCTCGCTCTTCAGCGTTTGCTTTTCCTGGCAGAGCTGATCCCCGCTGCCCTGCTTTGGGGAGTTATTCAATTATAAATCTTCCACCCCCCCCACTGGGTTAGCCCGCCGCTCCACTGGTGCAGCCCTCTTCAGCGTCGTGCCCAAGAATTTATTATGCTCAGGGTGGTGAAGTGGAGTGTGGTGTGTTTTTGGAAAAGGGACCCCCCCTCAGGCCTCAGTGCCAACAGATGACAGTGACATATAGCAGGAAAGCCACCCAGGAGGAGAATGATCTCACACCTCAGCCACGCGCTCAGAGTGGGGGAGATCCGCAGCTGGGGCCAGAGGGGACAATAAAATCAGATGAAAAGAGGTGAGGATGGAGCAGGGAAAAGGTAGAGAGAGGAGAATGAACATCTGAAAGCAAACGGCGCAAAGCAGCGAAGGGCTCCGGCGAGGCTGCAAGAAGAGGGAAGCAAGTCTGTGACGTCTTTCAATAGGTTTGAGGTGAACGCTGTGCTTTACTAATGCTCCAAACTAGATATTCAGTTTGTACCCTCAACGCTGTGCTTTACTAATGCTCCAAACCAACCAAACTACATATTCAGTTTGTACCCTCAGAGTGTGGTGGTTGTTTCTTCCAGCAAACATCTGGAGGAAATGCACAGCTTCGTTTGGAGTTTTAACAAAATTTGCAGTTGCATTCATGGGCTTATAATTTAAAGTTCCCCTGCTGCCTTGAAAATGTCAGTGAATTCTTATTCATCTTCAAGGTAAATGAACTTGAGAAGAGAATTCAGTAAATTTAAGATATGAAGTTGATTCGACATGTGTAGACAGCGTTGTTGTGCAATGATGTCCAACCATATTAACGTCCTGTGCGTGTCTGTGGATGTTTAGAGGTGCATCACAACCTTTTGCCTGCTATTGTGTATGCACTCAGTGTTCAGTTTATTAGGAACACCTGTCTCACCCTGAGTCAGTCTAATCCAACAGCACTACAGTGAATCCTCTTCCTATAATGTTTGGCCTGTTTCACAGAGGTGCTGGTTGTTCACCTGGACTGGGTTACACTGAGAGCTGGCTCTGGTGTCGTGTCCAGACCATGTTTATCAGTGAAATATTTCCATGCTG